CTTTTTCAAGCATTATAGATACATTGCACAATCAATGGGACGAGGCCAGGGACCTCACAATTCGACCCGGAGTTATCCTGGCACCCTCAGCCAGTTTAGCTTACGAGCAAGGTTTGATAACCAACCAACTCCTCAAAATGTACTATCAACCTGCTGGAAACCGGGTCCAGCATCCCCTCTTAGACAGAGCACTGTCCAGACTCGGAGTTAAACGTTGAAGCTCAGGAGGTGAGCTCTCAAAATTAAACCGGGTCCAGCACCCCATCTTAGGGCCTCGCCGGACGGCGGACGGCACAACTAACGAAAAGAAACGACCACCGAACTCGCGAGGCCTCGCGAAGCCCGGATTCACCGTTTCGCTTCGGTTTTCGCCTCACCGCCCCATAGCACACAAGAAAAATCTCGCGAGAACTGCCTGGCGAGAGTCGTGCAGGATTTGTTTCACTACGGTCTAAATTTTTGGATGCTACGGTCCAATTTTGCGGACAAACCTCGGTTGGAGCTACACGGCACACGCGTGAGATTTCGCAGCTCCTCCCGCTGACCAGCGGAGGACCTACGAGTTCGCGAGCGCTACAGGCAGGGAGGACTAGCGCAAGCTGTTAACCTCGTGAACTTGGAGTCTGACGGCATTCACGACTTGTCTTCTGACAGAGTTCGTGTGGGTGCTGTGCGGCGACTCCTTCGCGAAACAAGGTCGTTTTTTTTTTGTTTCCTGCACCGTGGGGCGAGGCCTTAGCTGCACTACTCGCCATACGCCAAGTTTGGCGAGTAGGCGCCTGGTTGCACTTACTCGCCAAACTTGGCGAATGCAAAATTATCAGAGGGCTAGCCACACCGTCGACACAAGTTGTGGAGAGTGAATTCGGTTTCCCCACCTGTGCACGGCGGTTTGTGGAGGGTGGTCGTCGGACCTCTCCACAAAACAACTTTCTGGAGAGTGCAGGGCTTCATGAGTAGACATCAGGTAAACAATTTTTTTTAACTTCCCTTCCCTTACTATTCTTAAGCAAATAGCGGGTCTGGTGTCACGCCCCCTCAAAACCCTGCTCCGAGTGTTGGGAAAAACGTTGGGACTGTTGGGGGGCCCCAACGAACACTCGCGGCCGTTGGGATCGGCCGGCAGGCGGGTTGGACGGTCGGGTAGAGCTTTTGAGAATCCGCGCCTGGACGATTCGCGAAAGTTCTATCCGGCCTTCCGACCTGCCTGCCCGCCAATCTCGACTGCCGGGAGTGTTCATTCGGGTCCTCCGAAATCCGCACCTGGCCGATTCGCGGAAGTTATATCCGGCCGTCCAACCTGCCTGCCCTCCAATCTTGACGGTCGAGAATGTTCTTTCGGGTCCTCCGAAATGAGTCGTTCGTCGGGCCCGCTGTCTAGTATTTCAACCCGTCTCGTGCTTTGTCGTGTTTGACCGCGCGCTTTGAGATTTCGCTTCGACGTCCATGTCTCGTGCTTTACCGTGTTTGACTGCACGCTTCAAGATTTCGCTTCGGCGTGCATGTCTCGCAG